TAGCTGTGGAGGGCAGTGTCACTGGCCCTCATATGTGGGATCCGAACCGGGGCCCTCTGGCGTCCCAAGCCAGCTCTTAACCAATGCGCCACTGGGCCAGCCCTGATTTATCTCTTTTGATCTTCACTTTACAAATGAGTCAGTTTAACCTCATAAATTGCTCAAAGCATGCAGCTGTAAGTAGCAGAGCTAGGATTTGAACCAAGTCTGTTTGACCTCAAGCATTCCCTATTTCCTCTCATGTCTTTTACTCAGTGACCCCCACTGTACTAGGTATGGGCTTAAGAAAGATAGGATTTTCAGGATCCAGTAAATATTAGGCAAGATTTTGAGGAGGAAGGGGATGTGTTTTTTGTTTTGTTTTGTTTTGAAGATTTTATTGGGGAATTGGGAAGGGGAACAGCGCTAGGGAATTGGGGAAGGGGAACATTGTGGTTTTCCAGGTTCCATCAGCTCCAAGTCAAGTTGTTGTCCTTCAATCTTAGTTGTGGAAGGTGCAAGCTCAGCTCCTCCAAGTCCAGCCACCACTTTTAATCTAGTTGGGGGAGGGGTGCGTAGTCCACTATCCCATGTGGGAGTCAAACCGGCAACCTTGTTATTAAGAGCCCGCGATCTCACCAGCTCAGGGGCAGCTCAGCTCGGGTGCAGCTCACTGGCCCATGTGGGAATCGAACCAGTGACCCTCTTGCTCAGAGCTTGCACTCCAACCAGGCGAGCCACCCGGCCAGCCCAAAAGGATGTGTTTTGGCTGAGAAGAGTGTAAAAGGCCAAAAGGTCTATTTTAAGTTGAGGCAAAGTATCTTTTCCAGCTTTTCTCAACTGGAATTCTATGAGAATTAAGACACAATGCCCCAAGACATCCATTGCATGTCATAAATTAACTTCTTCCTATGCATCTAGAATGGTGCTAGTTATGTACCACCCTTGGGAAAATTAAGAAAACAGTCACACAAATCATTTGTAGGGTCTAATACACTTAACCCTTGCTGAGAATGTTGGGGGGTGGAGCAGAGTCCAGAGCCAGCCAGTCATGCACAGGACAACCAGAAGGCCTTCCTCTCTAGCTGAAGCAGGACCTAGCTCAGCAAGGAGTGAAGTACTCTCAGCTATAATGCCCTAAGGATCAGTTAGACCTCTGGCCTCAGCCGACAACCCCACACCTTTGCTTTTTATTGAAGTACTCAATGACCATCCCTTAAAGTTCACATATTCTCAACCTTCATGGTAAAGGAATAAAATCTTCTTTACACTGAACAAAGACCCCCAATCACAGTTAATTTTTCTGCATCCAAGGAGGCCTGCACTGGGGCTGGCCGAGTGGCTCAGTTGGTTAAGAACATGAGCTCTGAACAATAGGGTTGTCAGTTCGATTCCCATATGGGCCAGTGAGCTGCACCCAAGCTGAGCTGGCGCTGAGCTGCCAATAGGTGGCAGGATTGCTCAGCTAGTGAGGGCATGTGCTCCTAACAACAAGATTGCTGGTTCGACTCCGGCATGGGATGGTAGGCTATGGCCACCTGCAACTAAGATTGCACCTTAGTTGCATGGCACCTTGAGCTGAGCGGCCGCGAGCTGCCGACAGGCAGCTGGATGGCTACTGGATTTGAAGCTGAGCTAGCTGCGCCCTCTACAACTAAGACTGAAGGACAACTTGGCTGTTCCCTTTCCCCAATTCCCCAACACTGTTCCCCTTTCCCAATTCCCAATTCCCCAATAAAATCTTAAAAAAAAAAAAAAAAGGAGACCTGTACTGGAATTCCTAATTTTTTTTTATTTATGTATTTAACACTGTGGAGTACCTTCTGAACTAAGGCCTACCATGTGCCTGGGAGGGAGTATAATTTCTTCATTAATCCATTTATTCATTATTTATCCAAAATCTTAAACACCTGTTCATACGTATCATTTTGGGGTTGAGCTCCAGGGGACAAATATTTCCCAGGTTAGTGGCCTTATGCTGAGTGAAGAATTCTTGTACCTGAAATCTATATTTTCTGTCTTTGTTGTCATTTGGAAGAGAAAGTAGTTCTATTGCTTTTTTTTTTTTTCCTGGTACTGCAACAGCTTTCAAAATCATAATTTGGCGATAGAAAAATGCAGATGAGTTACCTTAGGAGAAACTAACTTCCAGTTTGCCAAAACTGCGTCCCTCGCTTACCTGAACATGGGTGACGAAGTGAGTGCAGTTTCCCCACTCAAGCTGTTCCTAGGGAGAGAAAGAATGCAGTTAATTAACAGCTTCTTTTCCCTAGATCTCCACTTTGCCACTATTTGCCTGGAGATGGAAGCTACTAGCTCTGGTTTTCCCACCTCCATAGAACCTGAATCCTACAAGCAACTAAAATTCCACCTCCACTAGTAGTTCTGAGGAAAAAGAGGCAGTCCTCTTGTCTCAGCAATTCCTCACATAAGCTTGCCAGTTCTGGGTCTCCCCACCCTTTCCCTTATCATTCTACTAAATTTCAAGGCTCCTTTGCTTCCGGCGGCATTTATTACAGTAATATCTCACTCCTGCCAACCTCATTACCTCGACTTCACAGCTAAAAACGAGGACTAAACAAAAAAGCCTATAAATGGCCCACGAACGCTGGAGACCAGAGCTCGGGCTCTGTGTTTACAGGAAATCTCTTCAGCCCACTTGTAGGACATTTTTAATTTAATGTTTAGAACATTTCTAAGGTCTGTTAAACGGTGGACCAGCCTATTCACAGGCAACACTTGGAAACAACAGAAAGAAAATACCTAATTAAGTGGGCTTAAGCGTTTTGCAAACCCAGCTTTGAGTTTAGAGGCAGCAAGTTACAAACACGCCCCCAAAAGCCCCTAAGGTGCACGGTATAAAACTTGATATTCGTAATTATCATCCGAACCATGAAACTGACGGTACTATCCTCGCTTCATAGATAGAGCGAGGGGTCAAATAGAAAAATAGACTCAAGCTTGCCTCACTTGTAAACGGAGGGGTCACGGTTGAATTTGAACCCAAATCGCAGTCTGAAAAGTCCGTTGTTTTTTTACACCTTAGCTGCCTCAGGTTCTGAACGTTCTCGCCTAATAAGCCATGTTAGATGTACTTCTTAGAGAACCTCGATATACCTAAAATATCAATGTTTAGGTGCTTCCGTAACTTGGAAAAATCACCATTGAGGAAATCTGGCAAACGTGGCGCTTGCATATGGAGTGAGCCCAAGGAAACGAGCCCAAAGCTCTTCCTTAGAGCTTTGTCTTTTGGGCCGACGGCCGCGAAGGGCATCAGATGACCATGCCGGTCCTTGGGGCTACAAAGCCCGCTTCCGTCTAGCAGTCCAGGGCAGGAGAGGAGAAAACGGGGTGACAGGGAGCGAAACCCACACGCATTGGCCTGCAAAGTTCCCCCGAGCACGCGCGCGCGTTCACAGCCTCCCCGCTTCAGCCCTAGGGTGGGAGTCTTTCTTGGAATGGCTGGTTCTCCCAACGGCCCCACCGGCAGACTTCCGGCCAGCGGCCCGCCTCCGCCCCGCCCCCTAGGGGCGGGGGATGCTAGGATTCGCCAATCACTGCGCACATGTGGTAGGAGTAGGTGGACCTGAGAGATTCGAAAGGAGCCCCGCCCCCTCGGGACAGATTCCCGGGACTGAGTTGTGGGAAGAAAGCACCGTTGCGGGAGGTGAGGCGGGGCGGAAAGTGAAAGCGTAGGTTGAGCTGGAGGTGTGGCGTGGCTGCGGTGCTGCGGAGAGTGGAAAGGTGGTTTGGGGAGAGGAAGAACCCGGAGGATGGTGGCGGGCAGGAAAATAGGGCGCGCAGACCGCCCCCAGTGAGGAGAGGCCGGTTGCCTGGCCGGGGCATGGGCGGGGGGCGGGGGGAGGAGAGCCGGGGTAGTGGGGGAGCGGGAGGGCAATCTGCGGAGAGGAATAGGAGTGCAGGGGGAGCTCTTTGCACCTCCCCGGGAAGTAACAGTAGTAACAGGGGCAGGTGCTACTCCTAGGAAGCTTGCTTTCCCTCCAGCATGACTCCCAACCCCTGGTTTGCACCCAGCTGCGAGAGACTTGGATAGGATGGAGATCTGAGGAAAGGTATGTTTTCTCTCCAGCTCAGATCTAAGCTGATTCCTGCTCCGGCTGGCTGGAACATGGGAGATTTGCAGGAAGGTAAGGAAGCCCCGGAGGGAAGATTGAGGCCCTGCGATTGAGAGCCATGTTAGGGACCCAAGGCTGGCATTCATTCTTAACTCCCCTACAGATGTAAAGTTTATAGTGGATGAGACCTTGGACTTTGGAGGGCTGTCACCATCTGACAGGTACCAGCCTCTTTATCCTGCTTACTTCCCTCCAGCGATGCCTCTGTCTCTAGCCCCTTACTGGTGAATTTTTGGCCTCAGACCTGGGTTGGTAATTTAGCAAGGCTGGGTGTGCTGGGGCTGCTGGGTGGCTGGTTTACTTGGGCCTCTATGACACTACTATTGGGAGAGGGGAGAAGGGAGAAGCTGGAATGAGATTGCAGGGTGTTAAGAAAAAGGGTAAGTGGATTTGCTGCATCTTCATCCTGGCATAATTTCCAATGTCAGTAAGTGCTAAAGGCCTATTAGACCTCACGGAACCAGGTATCTCATCACCTAGAGGCCGGATCTCACAGCCGACATGGGCATCAGGGTTTGGGAATGTGTCTCTGGCTCTGTTGCGGGGTTTTGCCCAGTCTCCCTTGTACAGTCTCCTGCTCTCTTCCATGTGGGCACAGTGCCTGGTTTGTTTTCTGTCTCAGTCGTGAGGAGGAAGACATAGCAGCGTTGGTGACTTCAGAGAAACCCCTCCGACGCGGCCTGTCCCACCGAAGTGACCCAAATGCAGTGGCCTCCTCCCCGCAGGGTCTGAGGTTCAGCTTAGGCCGCCTCAGCCCAGAGAAGCTGGAAGAGATTCTCGATGAGGCCAACAGGCTGGCAGCGCAGCTGGAACAGTGTGCCCTGCAAGAGCGGGAGAGCACAGGCACAGGCTCTGGGCCCCGAAGGGTGAAGCCCAGCCCTCGGCGGGAGACCTTTGTGCTGAAGGACAGTCCTGTCCGAGACCTGCTGCCCACTGTGAGCTCTTTGGCTCGGAGCACCCCCTCCCCAAGCAGCCTGACACCCCGACTGCGGAGCAGCAGCGATAAGAAGGGGTCAGCCAGGGCTCTTCGGGCAACCTCTGGAAAGAGGCCCTCCAGCGTGAAGAGGGTGAGTTTAGAGGGTCCGGGCTGGATGTGAGCTCCCAGACACGGTGTGTGACTTGGTACAGTCATGAAGTAGTTTCCTTGTTGGTAAAATGGGGATAGTAAAATTCTACCTCATAGAATTGTTGGAATTAAATGAGATATCATAAGCCATGCACTTACCACTGTCTGTTCATAGCTCTATGATGGCTATAATAAGCTCTCAATAAATGGTATTAGTGATGATGATGTTGGCAGCTAACTTCTGCCCTCCCTTACTGGGATCTAGGCAACTTTACACCTCTATCTCTTCATCTGCCAGCAGAACAGATTCTTTTTCCATTCTAGTCCCTTTTTTTTTTCGCTGTCTCTTTTTATGTTTCAGGAGTCGCCCACTTGCAGTCTGTTCCCCACATCCAAAAGCCCAGCATCTTCTGTTGCCCGATCAACTCCTCCAATCCGGGGAAGAGCTGGGCCCAATGGGAGAGCAACAGCAAGTGAGAGGACTTGGGCAGCAAAGCTGTGGGTGAGTGGGAGTAGGGATGATGTGGCACTAACCCTAAAATTCCTCTGCACCAGGCCCGCCTGCCCCCGTCAGACCAGTCTTGGCCCCACAGCCTTCTACCAGCAACTCTCAGCGCCCGTCTCGGCCACAGGGAGCAGCTGCTAAACCTTCTAGTCGACTGCCCGTTCCCTCGGCCATCCCCAGGCCTGCCAGCCGGGTGCCACTCACCAGCCGGAACATACCACCCAGCAAAGGTGCCCTAGCTCCAGAATCTCTGTCAACTCGGAAAGGACTTCCAAGACCAAGCACCTCAGGGCACAGAGGTGAGGAACAATGGACCTAAGGCTAAGAAGTCAGGAGGAAGAATACCTACCCTTGCCCAGGTTGACCGCACCTCCCAGAGCTGGTAACAATGACCACTTTCTCCATCTTCATTACAGCTCTATTTGAAGATGGCCAGACTGAGTTGAGGAGAGAATTTGGGCGTGGGCCAAGAGTTTGAGTCTTGGTTCTCAAATACCATGGGTGGGAGGAAAGGCACTAATCCCAAACTCTGCCTTCATCCAGTATTTCCTTTTTTTTTTTTTTTTGTCAGTTAAGGTATATTGTGATTTTTCTAGGAATGTAAACATTGCATCAAGTTCTTCATAATATTTCATGGCTAGTACCAAACCCTATATATGGTGTATATATATATATATATATATATATATATATATATATATATATATATATTCACTTAAATAAAGAGNAACCGCTGTTGCTCAGAGCTCAAACTCTTGAGCGAGCTCTTAACCAACTGAGCCACTCTGCCGGCCCTCAGTATTTCCTTTTGAGACGGTCCCTTGAACTTTCTGCTAACTCATTTCTTTTGTTAACTCCCATCAAGTTCCTGTTTCCCAGAGACCAAATCTTTCTGTCATTGGTGCCACTCACAGCAATCTGCAGCCCCCCAGGAAAGTTGCAGTTGCAGGACCTACCAGGTAAGACTGTCTCTTTCTCCACTGTCATCTGGACTTCTGAGCTGCTATGTACGAGTTGTAGATCAGTGCTGAATCCTGTGTGGCATGACGAGGGCCTGGAGGGTCAGGGTGTCCCATTTCTTCCTACCCTGAGGAATTTGAACTCAGCTGGGTGACCTATGGACTTGAGGAAGAAGAGCAATAAAGCAGTTCCTCCTGTCTCTTCAGGTAAACAGATCAGGAAGAATTCAGTAGCAGACCACTACAGTCACTGCCTGGACTCACTCTACTCAGCCTCCCACGCCCTCTCAGTGGAGGCAGTTCCTGACTTCAGCAGATCCTGGCCCAGGGGCAGGAGGAAGAGATGCCACCTGGGCTGGTGCCTCAGTAGTAGAGACCGTGAGAGATGGGGTGGGTTAGGGTTGAGCTGAAGGGAATTCAAACTCTCTGGATTGAAAGAAGACTAGGAAAAGAAGTAGCCTCCCAGTGACGAAATAACAAATAGAACATAAGAAATGCAGAAGAGTGGGTTGTCCTCATCCACCCCTACTCTTGTGTTTATCCCCAGAGTTTGATCTTCTTTCCAGGCGGTGGTTCACTGGACATTTGCATGTGAATGGCCTCTAGCTAACCTCCCTGCTCTCCTCCTGAATTACATCTACCGAACTCCAGCCTGTCTGGAAAGGCCAGCCTGTCTGGAAAGGCCGAGGTAGCCACCTGGCTTCCAAACTTTTTTTCCTGTGAATCCTGGCTCTTAAACAAGCCAGTTTATGATAAGCTTACTGTGTTGGCTTGCATTTTTCTAAAATAAAATAAATGTATTTTTATATTCTCTGTATATGTGAAAGTGAATCCTGCTCTAATTTCTAACAAATTTGGAATTAATACCTAGGTAATTCCAATGAGGGAGCCAGGATGGGCTTCCCAGGCAGGGGCCTGGATAGGGCCAGCTAATCAAGCTGTGACAACCCCCCCTTTTTGGTGTTAGATAGGAACAGGCTGCCTTTTCCCAGGATTTGTATGTTATTAAAAGGTCCAGATCAAGTTAAGTTGTAGCTTAATTCACAGTATGTGAGGCTATCAAGCCATGGTCTATATATTATTTATATCCTAAAGTTGGGTGTCCTTTCATGACAAGAGAATGGACCGTCCTAGGACTCCTCAGCATCTTGTCTGCTGTACTTATGGGGTTGAGAGGGCCCTTTGGTGGGTACCCTGGTCTTCAGCTTTGCTGATTGCCTCAGGCAGAAGATACTGGAGCACCTCTCACATTCCACCTTACTTCGTTCGTATCGTTGATGTTGTCCTCTTGTCTTCCCTACTAGATTTGAGGGCTGGCAGCAGGATTTATAATCCCCTGCAGTGCCTAGTGTTGTGATTTATATGTGGCAGAGAATTTCATTTATTAAAAATATATTTGAGTGCAAGATGGGTATTTGTTGAATGAACAACAAAGACTCATTTAAGAGATTGAACTAAGGGTCTGCCTTTCCCCACAGCTTTTGACTCTTGCAACCAGAACCAACTCAATTCCCTGTTGTGTTTTTAAATTTGTTTTTATTGGGAAACAGCCATGGTCATTGGTTACACATTGCTTTCATGCTACAGTGGCATCGCTGACTCCCCTTTAAGGAGGGCTCCGCTCACAGTGGCCCACGTGGGGACCGAACCGGCAACCTTGGTGCTATCAGCACGACGCGCCAACCAACTGAACCAACCGGTCACCTCCCTTTGTGAGTTTTGAGAGAATGTTACTCCTTGAAGGCCAGGCCATGACTCAAGGAAGCCAGCTGGCAACTGGGCAAAGAGAGTGGAGTGCCAGCTAGTGCCACCCCCACTCTTATATGCCCATAAGTGCCCAACTTAAGCACTGAAATGCCTTCCTCTGTTCCCAGGCCAGGGGTCTCTCACTGTTTTCTTCTTTTTATGGATGATCTTTAAGTTCATTTCACACATTCACCTGTGTCACAGTGACAGCTGCCTACACATTCACCTTCCTCTTCAGTCTCTTGCAGCAACTCCTGCAGCCTCTGGGATTCCAAGAATTGAGTTAGGGGAGAGGGTGTGGAGACACGCTGAGTATTTGGCAATTCAGTAGAGGCAAGAACACCTCAGGTGTGTTTCCCAGCTGCATCCTGCACTAGTGAGTAGAGCCTGTTGGTGACTTCCCGCTGGAAGGTGGACAAGCCTAGGCACACACTTAGGTGTGATCAGCAAATGGCAGGTGTGGCCTGGGTGTGTGTGGGCCAGGTCCTGGAGGGTCTGTCATTAGAAGCAAAAGGAGCTGCAGACCCATGTGCTGTTGCCACCTGGTGGTCTGAGGGGACAAGACATTTCCCTTTGGCCCTCTTGATCAGTCTTGAGTTTTGTACCCACCTCAAGCCCCATCCCGCTCCAAACCTGCTTGCGCAACATGCAGTAGGCAGTGCCAGCTAGGGAGGCCTGCCTACCACAGCACCCCTTCTTGTTCAGCTACCTGCTCCCTTCCTTCCCTTTGGTCTGGCTTTCTATCTTTTTCTTGATGCACTCCACCCCTGCCCCCAACTAGTAGCAACAAAGAGGGAAGCCAACATTTATTGGCCTTTTTCTATGTACTGTGACCTGTTCTAAGCACTCTACATGTGTTAACTCATTTAATTCTCATAAAAGCTCAATTAGGCGGATGCTATTATCATCCTCATTTTACAGGCAAAGAAACAGTCCTAGAAAAATTAAGTCAATCTAGTTCCCAGGTCTGTGTTCTTAACCACTACCCTCTATTGTTCAAAGGTTAACTCCCTGTCTAGTTTGTTGAAGAGAACTTTGAAACAGAAGTAATTCCCCAGGGCCGGCCGAGTGATGCGTTGGTTAGGAGTTGGCTTGGGACACCAGCTCTGAGCAGCAGAACCCTGGTTTGGATCCCACATGAGGGCCAGTGATGCTGCGCCCTCTACAGATAAGATGGTGAACAACAGCTCGACCTGGAGCTGGGCTGCCGTGAGTCGCTGGCGACGTCGTAGGCTGCAGTGGGGATGGCCGGCAGTGGGTGTGAGCTGCCGTGAGCCGCCGTGAGCAGCCATCCAATGACCGGCGAGCGACTGCCTCACCCGGGAAGAGTGCAATGATAATACCAACATGGGCCAGTGAAGTGACGTCCTCCACAACTAGACTGAAGAACAAAAGGACAGCAACTTGTCCGTTCCCCTTCCCCGATTCCCCAGTGCTGTTCCCCCCCCCCAATTCCCCAATAAAACCTAAAAAAAAAAAAAAAGAAAAAAGGAAGTAATTCCCCAAACTTGGGAATAGAAGTAACGTTGTAGAGGACATAGTTGGCTAGGGTATGAGTAGTTGCTTCATTTCTAATGGGGATAAAAACCAACATGACCCAAAGAAGTGGAGTTAGGAGGTACCCAATCACTGAGCACCTTTAAATTCCCACAGCCTCTCAACTCATCCCTCCCTGCCTCTTGAATTCTGCCCGCAGGACTCAGCCCTACAGCCTCTCCAGCAACACAAGTCCCTCCTGTCCTCGTGAAAAGGATACTTTCCTGCCACATCTTTCTTGGAAATGCCAGGACATGGGCTCTGCACTGATAGCATTTGGGGAGTACTGTTGGGGGTGTCGGTGGAGGGGCTAGCTCATCAGCTACTTGGTATCTGAGTCCCATGACCTCGTGGCCCTTTCTGCAGTTGTTTTCCAGGGGCCAGGCCTCCCTCCCTCTGGAAGGACAGGGCACCAAACAGAAGCACATGATGACAGTGCTCAACCCGCACAGAACTAGTTTATTCAGTAGTATGGGGAAATGAAAAAAAACGAAAAACACAAAACCCTACCATATTTACAGTCACAATCAAACTGTACATTCTGACAGTTAGTATCAAGTTAGCATCCAGCATCTTTGTATTTTTTTAAGTCAAGTCATCAGTAGTAAAAACCAGTTAAATTTTTAACCCTTTGCAGGAATTGCTGAGGGGAGAGGTCGGGGAGAATCCGTGGCAGGAAAGCCAGAAACCAGCCTTAAATGACAAACAGGAGCATTTTTTCTGCCCGTAGCCTCTTTTTCTAGCCACCTGCCCCAAAGGAAAGTCTTTGACAAGTCTTGAATACATGCTTAGCATAAATGGTGACTCCAATGAATAGCAACTGGCAAAACTGAGGGGAGGGGAGAGGTGGGGAGATGACAGCCTGTAGCAAGGGGAAGGGCCTCAGCTCCCCATACCAGGACTGCTGGGTGCACACCCCACCTGTAACAGCCACATCAGACCCCCTGGGACTGGACACAAACCCATCCCAACACAAAAAGCAAATAAATAAAAAATATATATATTAACTCTCTCTTCGCAGGGAGCTGGGAGTGGGGGGAGAAAGAGGAACAGGACCTGGTCCTTTGAAGAAGAGAGCCAATTCCCAGAAGGGGTTAAAAATAGAACATGTCTCAGTGGCCACAGCAAGTCAGACAGAGTGGGGTGTGTCTGATCTTGGAGGGGGGGGATGAGTGGACCCCAGAATCCAGACTTGAGACCTGTGCTTGGAGCAACTGAGTCAGCACTGTATTTACTCTTCCTCTCCGTTCTACCCACACAACAGCAAAGAAGCGCAACTTAACATGACTGGCCTTCCCCACATGCGGGTCAGGCAGGGAAATGAAGCACTTTTGGGTCAGCAACTGAGCAAACACCTGGGCTGCGGCACTTGGCAGTCCAGGGAGAGGAGAAGGGCTGGGGTGGCCCGGCCGCCACCCAGGGGCACGGGTTCCCCTCAAAATGTGTTCATGCAGCATTTGGGGGTCCGGGGGCTCTGAGTCCTTCTGCCCCCTCGCCAAACAGGGCTTTTTCAGTTCCTGGGAGGGTGACACAGACAGGGTGAAGAGCGCACTCTGCCCTGACACCCTTGCCATACTGAGACCCGCCCGGTGCAGCCTGCAGAGCTCGTAGCCCTGGGTGTGTGTGGCTTTGTCCTTTCCTTTTGGTGATGGCAAATGAGGGGCAGGCCCCCCCAAGAGTCCCTCTCCTCCCAGAGGCACAGCAGATGGGAAACTGAGGAGAGGCCGGGGAGCATCCTGGGAGATCCTATCCTCTTTGGGAAGGGAAAGGGGAGTCCGTTTCCGGCATATAAAAAAAATTAATCCCTGAAGTCATGAAGAGTGGAGATCCTTTTTTAAATTCTTTTTTTTCCTCTTTTCTGAAAAACTTTGTCTTGGAGATGTTGGCCCCAGGGGTCCAAAGTGCAGTGAGGGGAATGATGGGGGAGGGAGTTGGCACTAGACGGCCTTGGGTGGGGTGGGCGCCCCTCCCGACAAGGCCCAGGCTCCTCAGATGGACGTTTCGTCGCTGCTGCGGGCAGGCGGTGGGGAGCGGGGTCAGGATAAAGCACAAGACAGGAGCGGGGCATGAGTGCAGCTGGGGAAGGTAAGGGAGCCTCAGGGTGTAGGAACCACTGGCCCAGGGTTAATGCAGGAAGTTAAAGAAGAGAAATCTGGAGAGGCAAGAAAGGAAAGTGACAGAAAAGGCAGACAGAGGGTTAGTTGGAGCAGAGGCGACAGTGAGAAGCTTCCACCAGAAGAAGGAAACAGAAAAGCAACCGCAGCTCCCCACCCTCCCTCACGTTGCCGGACGCTGGGCTGGGCCGACCCCATGGGCACCAACATGGTTTCAGGGCATGTTGCAGTAAGGGAGCTGGGCCACGCTCCGCCCATTTGTCCTGACTGCCAATCAGAGCAGGCCAGGGAGGCCTGGAGGCAGCTCCGAGCCCAGCTGGCGCCTCTTCGGGGCTGTACCCTGTCCCACCCACCCGGCCACACTCACTCGGAGCCTGACGAGTCCTCATCCACTGTGCCCGCCTTGATGCTCATGGCGATGGGCATGACCCCATTCAGCTGCTCCTGGAGACTCTGCCGGGGAGGTGGGCGGGGAGGGGGCCCCGCCCTGCTGCCCTCGCTGACCGAGGAGCCCCGAGAAGACCCCGTGCCCTGCTCCAGGGGCAGCCGTAGGAGGCTGCTCTTCTCACTGATGGTGGGCAGACACTTCTTCTTGAGGATGCCTGTGGGTCAGGAAGGCAGGTGCCATGAGGAGCAGGCGGTGAGGGCCCCATCAGCCACACGGCAAATGTGAGGTGTGAGCTTGCCCACTCACCTTTGTGAGGTTGGGCAGAAAGGCCTGGAAGGGGGCCCAGGGACCCCTCCCACGGCAGGACATCGCCATTCTCCCGCGGTTGCTCCTCAGAGGCCCCATTGCCACCACTCTCCTTTGCTGTGGTCCCAAAGTCTCCGGGCCAGGGGGCCTTCCCATGCCCAGGGCCCCCATCTGGTGGAGAAAGGAGGTAGATGAGGCCCAGAGAAGGCAGACAGCTAGGAGAGTCACCACTCTAGTCTTACCTCCCAGGGATCCCAGGCCCTCTGCCCTCCCATCGCCCCCAAAGTCCACAGCCCTGGCGCTGGCCCACCCTTGGGGGTACTGTGCAGGGGCAGTCTGTCGGCCCCAGGCCCCAGCAGGCTGTCCCAGCCCGGCTCTCCAGGGAAGGCGGCTGCCTCCTCCTCCTCCTCCTCTTCCTCCTCGCTGTCTGACGAGTGGGTGGAGGCATAAGAGCCGCTCTGATCGTCTTCCAGAGACAGGTCACTGTCGGAGTCTGTGTCAGGATCTGGGAGGTGGAAGAGAGATCACAGCTGGCCTACCTGCTTCTGTCTACCCTCAGCAAAACCCAAGCAGCTGCAACCCCACCTGAGGGGCTTCCGTCCTCACCATGCTGCTGGTCTTGACCTTCCAGAAATAGGCTGCCTGGGTCCCCCAGGCCAGGGGGCCCTTGACCAGGGTTCAGTGTGGACTCCTCCCTAAGAAGACAGGCCATGCTGGAGGAGTCCGCCCGGCCTTTTGCCCAGTGTCCCATTCTCTTCTCTTTCCTGGGTTTTTCAGTTCCACCCCATGCCTTTTACTGCTTCTAATCCAAGCTGCCACCAGTGTCAGCCATGTGTACACTCGCAGCAGCTGGCTGGCCTAGGCCTGGCACGCGTGCACCGTGCTCTGCTCCCCTCCCCAGCTCTCCCGTCGCCAGAGCTCACCTCAGCAAGAAGGGGATGTAGCTAGGCTGACTCTTGCCTGAGCGGCTGGCGCTGTGCAGGGAGCCAGCTGAGTCTCCTCCATAGGGCTGGTACAGCCGCCCATCCACGTACGGGCTGGGGCAGTTGTAGGACTAGGAGGGAAACAGAGGGGCCAGTCAGGGGAGGAGCAGGATGGGACGGCCCCAGGCTGGAGGCGGAAGAGCCGAGGGGGCCTGCCCTGAGCTCTACCTCCCACACGCCCAGGCCTGGAAGACAGAGGCCCCACTCTGTCTCTGCTGCCTCCCATCCCAGGACCTAGTAGTGCTTGCGGCTCTGTCATAACTGTGCCAGTCTTACGCACCCCAAGTACCCTGGATTCATCTGTATAAGGGCTTATTGGTAAAAGATGGCACCAGGAATTGTCTCCTGAGAGCATCCTGGGAGACACAGAAAATATACCAAGAGTACCAGGGGATTCTCAGGTGTTGGGCATTCATAACCTGATTACATGTCTTGGCTACCTCCTCACCTTATACTGCCAACTCCACACCCACCTCTCCCAAGTCAACACCCTCCTCCCCACCCCCAGACCCCCTTCTCCCCGGGCTACACATACCATCACTACTCCCCTTCCTCCTTTCCAGGAAAGGATGTAGAGATGGAAGGAACGTGGGGCCGAAGCACAGAGAGCAGGCTCCTTGGGCCTCTGGCCTCTCCCCCCGCCTCAAGACCCCTCCACCTCCCTGAGCC